ATGGACGAGACTGCCGAATTGAGGCAAAGGTAAGAATCTCTGGATTAACTATCTAATGTTAGCTAATTTTGTAATTAATAAATTGGCTATTTTCTTTAAATTGACAATTCTGTGACCTGTCTTGTGCAGCTTTTAAATTGACACAATACCTGTTAGCAAAGGTGTCAGCTAGATATGATGTGCAGGAGCTTGCAGGGATTTGTAGTCTTACATTATGCTAATTAGCATTTACGAATCTGAGAGTAAATAAAGCCGAATATATTGATAAAAGTCACCTTGTTCGAGAGAGATTTACAATTGAAGTCGGAAGTTTACATACACTTAGGTTGGAGTCATTAAAACTCGTTTTTCAACCACTCCACAAATTTCTTGTTAACAAACTATAGTTTTGGCAAGTTGGTTAGGACTACTTTGTGCATGACATAAGCAATTTTTCCAACAATTGTTTACAGACAGATTATTTCACTTATAATTCACTGTATCACCATTACGGTGGGTCAGAAGTTTACATACACTAAATTGACTGTGCCTTTAAACAGCTTGGACAATTCCAGAAAATGATGTCATGGCTTTAGAAGCTGATAGGCTAATTTACATAATTTGAGTCAATTGGATGTGTACCTGTGGATGTATTTCAAGGCCTACCTTCAAACTCAGTGCCTCTTTGCTTGACATCATGGGAAAATGAAAAGAAATCAGCCAAGACCTCAGAAAAAAAATTGTAGACCTCCACAAGTCTGGTTCATCCTTGGGAGCAATTTCCAAACGCCTGAAGGTACCACGTTCATCTGTACAAACAATAGTACGCAAGTATAAACACCATGGGACCACGCAGCTGTCATACCGCTCAGGAAGGAGACGCGTTCTGTCTCCTAGAGATGAATGTACTTTGGTGCGAAAAGTGCAAATCAATCCCAGAACAACAGCAAAGGACCTTGTGAAGATAATGGAGGAAACAGGTACAAAAGTATCTATATCCACAGTAAAACGAGTCCTATATCGACATAACCCGAAAGGCCGCTCAGCAAGGAAGAAGCCACTACTCCAAAACCGCCATAAAAAAGCCAGACTACGGTTTGCAACTGCACATGGTGACAAAGATCGTACTTTTTGGAGAAATGTCCTCTGGTCTGATTAAACAAAAATAGAACTGTTTTGCCATAATGACCATCGTTATGTTTGGAGGAAAAAGGGTGTGTCTTGCAAGACGAAGAACACCATTCCAACCGTGAAGCACGGGGGTGGCAGCATCATGCTGTGGGGGTGCTTTGCTGCAGGAGGGACTGGTGCACTTCACAAAATAGATGGCATCATGAGGATGGAAAATTATGTGGATATATTGAAGCAACATCTCAAGACATCAGTCATGAAGTTAAAGCTTGGTCGCAAATGGGTCTTCCAAATCGTCAATGACCCCAAGCATACTTTCAAAGTTGTGGCAAAATGTCTTAAGGACAACAAAGTCAAGGTATTGGAGTGGCCATCAAAAAGCCCTGACCTCAATGCTACAGAAAATGTGTGGGCAGAACTGAAAAAGCGTGTGTGAGCAAGGAGGCCTACAAACCTGACTCAGTTACACCAGCTCTGTCAGGAGAAATAGGCCAAAATTCTCCCAACTTATTGTGGGAAGCTTTTGGAAGGCTACCCAAAACGTTTGACCCAAGTTAAACAATTTAAAGGCAATGCTACCAAATACTTATTGTGTGTATGTAAACTTCTGACCCACTGGGAATGTGATGAAAGAAATAAAAGCTGAAATAAATAATTCTCTCTACTATTATTCTGACATTTCACATTCTTAAAATAAAGTGGTGATCCTAACTGACCTAAAACAGGAATGTTAACTAGGATTAAATGTCAGGAATTGTGAAAAACTGAGTTTAAATGTATTTGGCTAAGGTGTATGTAAACTTCCGACTTCAACTGTACATGGTTATCAAAACGTCATGCCAGAGTAAGCCTACATCAAACACAGCCCTTATTTTAAGCGTTTCTAAAATTCCCTTTGGGAAAAATGAATGGTGGTGAAACGATTGGAACCATTTCCCTGTTTGACCGCTAGGTTTTATGGGTATTATGACACCTCCACTGTGGGGCTCTATTGTCGTGCCATTCATCGGCCACCATCACCTCATGTTTCAGCATGTTAATGCCGGCCCCATGTCACAAGGATATGTACCCAATTCCTGGAAGCTAAAAATGTCCCAGTTCTTCCATGGCCTGCATACTCACCAGACATGTCACCCATTGAGCATTTTTGGGATGCTCTGGATCGACGTGCACGACAGCGTGTTCCAGTTCCCGCCAATATCCAGCAACTTCGCACAGTCATTGAAGAAGAGTGGGACAACATTCCACAGGCCACAATCAACAGCCTGATCAACTCTGTGAAGGAGATGTGTCGTGCTGCATGAGGAAAATTGTGGTCACACCAGATACTGACGTGTTTTCTGATACCTTTTTTCAAACTTATCTGTGACCAACAGATGCATATCTGGATTCCCAGTCGTGAAATCCGTAGATTAGAGCCTAATTAATGTATTTTTATTGGCATATTTTCTTATATGAACTGTAACTGAGTAAAATCTTTGAAATTGTTGCATGATGTGTTTATATTTTTGTTCAGTATATAATTAGTGTTAGAGAAAATGTGCATATTTTCTAAATGTCTCTCTTGATCAAAACGTCTGCCTCCATCGCTGTGAATTTCTCGCAGAGCTCTAGCTTTGCTTCCTGAACTCGTTAGGAACGAGCCTTTCATCTCACATTCATCTTGTCAGTCTATGACAAACAGAAAGTGTTTTTTGTTTAAAATCTATAATTATTTTAGATTACTGGCTATAAATCTCTGAATGTGCTAAAGTGACGAAATCACATTCTCCTGCTGAGTTATGATGTTAGGATTCCAGGCATATCCGTTAGTGGCTGTAACGTAGGGTTCAGCCAGGAGTTGATGGACAGTTGAAAGAGCTAATTAAATGGTAGGAGGGACATCCTAGCTTCAAGTTGTGTCAGATTTCACATCCTGCGTCACACAGGCAGAAGAGACATAATCCTGTGTCTGTGAGAATTAAGGCTACCGTTCAATGCAAGCCATTTCGATCTACAGTATGGTGTCCACATAACGATTTATAAGCGAAAATGTCAGTTGGAACCGGTACCAGAACCACGCAGGTCCCCAAAATAGGGGACTTTACATCTAAGAGGTTTTAATGCTGGAAAATCTGGCTACCAAGACAACGGTTTGTTTCAATCCTCATGGCATGCATTGTGTGTGTGCGTGTCTTCTTCCTGAGTGTCTGCCTCACATTTCTTTAGTCTTGAGTCAATAATATCTGGAGTTTTATAGTCTCTATTCACTAAGTCAACATTGTTCAGTCTTCCTCTCAAAAGTCACTGATTCCTATGACAAAACACACATACACACACATAATATATTATGTATACACATAATCCTGAATAAACAGATCTGAAAAAGCATCTCAAAGCATGTAGAAGAAGATGGCTTATTGCCAGGAGGAGAGCACATCTGGATTGGCATGGTTTGTTTTGGAGTGAGGAAACAATAATCTGCCTGTACATGGGAAACATGGCTCCCAACAACCCAGACCAGAAATTAACTGCCAGCCTGTGACTGCAGCTGTCGCATGTCCTCCTCTCCCTGTTCCACCTGGGCTCCCTGTGACACAAAATCATTACACAACCCAGCACACACTCTCTGTCTTACCCCCTCTTTATTTTCCTACAAAAATATTTCACCTTAGAAAAGACGGCTTGAAATGTACATGTTTTTTTTGTTGCAACTGCCATATAACTTTTCAGCTCAAATATATCTGTATATATATAGACTGTAAGTAAATATATCTTAGCAATATTGATAAATCCAGTTGTGTAGTGAGTGGGTGCACTCCTCTCAGCAGGCAGGCCTCTGGTGGATATCCATGTCAAGCCACTGCCCTGTCCCCAGACATCCCCCCTATCCTTAGAGATAGTTAATGTTAGGAGAGATGTCCACTGGAGAAGGAGAACGGCGTCCCTGGGTGACTGTTGGTTATCATTGACCGCTGATCGCTGTGGTGACCACTGACTAGACCACTGACCAGACCAGACCAGAACAGACCAGACCAGACAAGACCAAGGCATTATGAAAACCACATCATGCACATCCCCGAGTAGGGCTCAACCACAATCCCTCTGTGTTTATTAAAAAAATATGTCCTAATAATCAATACTAACAGGTTACCCTCTCTGATAGCGGCAGGAGGTGCTACTGTTTCTGAGCTGAGAAAAAAATTATACATACAGGTGCAAAGGTCACAAAAGGGCATGTGAGTGCAGTCAAGGAAGGACAGTCAGTGTCATTACAGGAAGTAGTGTCCATTCCATCCAGATAGCCTTGACATTAAAAACTCAGTGAGAGAGCAAGCTGTCCAATGACAGCATAGTGTCTATCCGGCCAGCCCAGATTTTACCAGTTGAGCGAGTGAGCAGAGACGGAAGCATTTTTCCAGCTAGCTCAGTCCGTAGAAACCGCACATGGAGTGGTCTGTGTATGTGCGAGGGTTCTTAAAGCACTTATAGTGATTGAAGGAACATGGGGACAGGGCGCGCGACATCCCAGAGTACCACTCGCTAGACTGCTTAGTCACAGAGGAACTATTTTGCTGTGAACTTATCATTACTATAATCAAATTGATAAACTATTTCCATTTGTCATGTTATCACATTTCTAATTCAATCCAATATCATAATTTTAACATAAATAGTTTGAAAGCATGTTGATCCATTGAGCATAATAAATAACAAAACACACAAAAAACAAATTAACAACGAGGATCCCAATTAAGATAATAATAACAATAACAGCAAATTCCTCCAGCCATCGTTTTGATTTGATGGTGAAGCTGGTCTGGCAGCACCCCTTAAGCCACTTCCCCGCTCTCAGCAGATTGGCTGCTGTACTTCATGTCACAGAGTAAGGCCGCTCCCCTCTGCTTACATCATAGAGGGACGTAGGATTGTACCACCAAGAGAGTCAAGAGAGCGGCGAGCAGCCAGAGGGGGTAGGGCGAGTGCCGGGCTCCCAGGGGTAAAGCAGAGTCGGAGGTGCAGGAGCATACCTCGTAGCCATTTTCGGCGTGGTCGGCGTGGTGCTGCCCGTGTAGCCGCGGGTTTGCCGTGTTATTGGCCTCTGTGGCTGGGGAGTCTGACTGCATCTCTGTGCACACCAGCCAGTCCTTTCCTATGGGCCGTGGGTACCCAGGCTCCACCTCCATATCACTGCCAACCACGCGCCAGTACTCCTTCCCCTTGAAGAAGTATGAGGAGTCTGAAGGAGAGGAAGAAGACAGAGGCTGCATGAGGACTAGAAGGGGACTGTGGTGATGATTGCAATTGCTATGGTAATACATCAATGTCGCTTGATTCTGTCGCACTGTTTTCCTATCAGTCCCGCTCTCTCTATCCACCAGTTTGTTTTTTCCACAAAATAAACTCTCACTCGCTCTCTCGCATATAATTTTTTCCCTCCCTTATCTCTGTCATTCCCCCTCTCTCCATCCCTTCCTGCCTATGTCTCCTCTCTCTCAGCCGCTATCTCACCCTCTCTCTATCCCTCCCTCCCTAGCTCTCATCCTCCCTAGCACTATCTTGCCCTCTCTCTCCATCCCTGTCGCCACAGCTCTCTCTCTTCCTGAGGTGATGGAATAGGCCTGGAGAGAGAGCTCTCTGATGTGCTTCCAGTTCCCAGGCCCCTAGGTGTGTGTTTAAGTGTGTGCTTCCACTCTGGTAGCTCAAGCTGTGTGGGGACTATCGCTTTTGCACGTGGCCTGTGCTTACACACACACATCAATCAGCTCTGAGCAGGACCTCTGGAGCTGGCAGCGGTAAAGAGCCCAGCACCTGAATGAGGGTAGCGCTCAGCCACAGGAGCCACTACAGGGGAGAATGAGGATCTAACTGGCTACTGTGGAGACTGGGCTGGTGCCGTGTTTGTGTGTGTGTAATGCCTTTGTGTATTACTGAATAATTTTGATAAGCTATTTGATATGTGTGTGTACTGTGAAGCTACAGTAAAGGCTTGACTGTTTGTTTGTGTATGTGTGGGCTTGAGTTTATGTGAGACAGATGGAGAGGTGAGGGGTGTTTAATGCATGTGTGCTTTTGTGTGATATGATTTATGTAAATATTTCCCAATCTTTAAGGTGGTGAGTGTACTTTAATTGCAGTTGGAATGGCCCTCCACGGCTAAGGGGCTGACTCTGAGATAGGCATGAATAAGGAGCTCACTGCTGAGAGTGCTGTGCATGAGCTGAGACATGATGCCCTAGCACCATCCTGCTCACACACACACACACACACACAAACATATCCCAGCTGCGCGCGCACACACACACACACACACACACACACACACACACACACACACACACACACACACACACACACACACACACACACTGTCACGACATCCGCCGAGGCTTACTAGCTACTGCCGCTCCCATTCTCATCACTCCACTTGTCTCGTCTTGTCAATCACACACACCTGGTGCTCATCCCCTAATTAGTCTGTGTATAAGTGTTCCCTCTGCCCCCTTGTCTTTGTGAGTGATTGTTCTATGTGGGAGGAGAGTAGCTCGGTTGAGATACTCTCTCATTTATTTTGCCAGGGTTGATTTTCCCCTGTGTCATTACATTTATTGTATTTCCTGAGACTGTGTTTGGTCAGGGAGGATTGTTTCCCCTGTACCTGTTTCGATTGCCGTTGTAGGCGCATTGTATGTCTGGAAGGAATACATCTGCATCCGGTTATTTTACTCCTGTGCTTGACTCCGTCCATCATTCACCACACACACACACATACACACACACACACACACACACACACATTCACACATACACACACAAACAAACATATCCCAGCTGCAGGCGCTTGCTGCCATGACAACCCAACAATGAAAACACAGACTTCTCTCTCCTTCCTGGACCAGCCAGCCCCATTCCACTATGGTTGAGTCCCAAATGACACCCTGTTATACAGTGCACTACTTCTGACCAGAGCAGAGCCCTATTGGCCCTGGTCCTTCGTAGCTCAGTTGGTAGAGTATGGTGCTTGCAACGCCGGCATAATGGGTTCAATTCCACCCATACATAAAATTTATGCACACGTGACCGTAAGTCGCTCTGGATAAAAGCGTCTGCTAAATGGCATATATTATTATTCTATTATAAGCAGGAGGGAGTGGAGAGAAAAAGGACCCAGTGTGGGCTAGTCCTACTGTCAGCAGCCTAAGGGCAGGCATGAATAAAATACAGTGAGGTACTCCATTATTTGTGCGTTCTTTTTGACAACCGCTTGTTATTTTTGTGTAAGTGCAGTGTATTGTATGTGTAAGTATTTAGCTTCTATTGTGTGAGTGTTTAGAAGTGAGTGCCGTGTGTATATGGAGTGTATATGTGATAGTATATGTGTATGTTTAGCATATTGATGTGTGTGTGTGTCACAGGAGGTTGGTGGCACCTTTATTGGGGAGGATGGGCTTGTGGTAGAGATTGGAGCGGAATTTATGGAATGGTATCAAATACATCAAACACATGGTTTCCATGTGTTTGATGCCATTCCATTTACTCCGTTCCAGCCATTATTATGAGCCTTCCTCCCCTCAGCAACCTCCACTGGTGTGTTTCAAGTTGTATTAGTCACACGGGATACGCATGGTTTACATCGTCCAATGAAATTCTTACTTGCAGGTTCCTTGTCGACAATGCAACAACAATAAGAAAAAATTTAATATAAAAATAGAAAAGAATAGTAGAATAGAATACATTTTTTAGCGTAAGTATAATACAGGAAGGCACAATTTATAGTCCAATATTCACACGTGTATTGGAGAAGGGGGTGATGGGGCCCAGTGTATAAACTGAGCACTATAATAAGTCTGGTAGCAGCAGTTGTGATGTGTGTGTAGGTACACCACCCTGTTCACGAAAATTGATCACTCTTACAGACAGTGATTCACGTGGCTGTGGCTTGCTATATAAAGCAGGTAGACAGGCAGAGGCATTCAGTTACTGTTCGATTGAATGTTAGAATGGGCAAAATGAGTGACCTAAGCATCTTTGAGCGTGGTATGATCGTCGGTGCCAGGCGCGCCAGAGCCAGTATCTCAGAAACGTCGGCCCTCCAGGGCTTTTCACGCACGACAGTGTCTAGGGTTTACCAGAATGGTGTGAGAAACAAAAAACATCCATTCAGCGGCAGTCCTGTGGGCGAAAACAACTAGTTGATGAGAGAGGTCGAAGGAGAATGGCAAGAATCGTGCAAGCTAACATGCAGGCCACAAACAGACAAATAACGGTGCAGTACAACAATGGTGTGCAGAACGGCATCTTGGAACGCACAACTCGTCGATCCTTGTCACGGATGGGCTATTGCAGCAGATGATCACACTGAGTTCCACTCCTATGAGCTAAAAACAAGAAGAAGTGGCTTCAGTGGGCACGCGATCACCAACACTGGACAATTGAGGAGTGGAAAAATATTGCCTAGAACATGACAGCGAGTTCAGCTTACTTGAGTGGCCTGCACAGTCCCCAGACCTCATCCCAATAGAGCATGTTTGGTACGAGAGAACGGCTGTTCTCAGCATGAATGTATCACCTTCCAGTCTGCAGCAACTGCGTGATGCCAACGCATCAGCATGGACCAACATCCCTGTGGAAAGTTTGCGACACCTTGTAGAATGCGCAGAAGAATTCAGGCTGTTCTGAAGGCAAAGGGGGGTCCGACCCAGTACTAGATGGGTGTACCTAATAAACTGGCCAGTGAGTGTATATGTCTGTGTGGGTGTGTGCATGAATGAGTGTATGTGTGCTAAGGTGTGGAGAATCAGAGCAGGTGGTCAGTCCAGTTCAAGTGTTCAGCAGTCTGATGGCTTGTAGATAGAAACTGTCTCTGAACCTGTTGGTATCAGACCTCATGCTCCAATACCGTCTGCCCGACGGTAAGGGAGAGAACAGCTCATGGCTGGGGTGTGTGGTTCCTTGATGATGCTGCCTGCTTTCCTCACCGTTCCGAGGGTTGGAGCACATTACCAGTAATGTACTGGGCCGTCTTCACCACCCGCTGGAGTGCCTTGCGGTCGTGGACGGAGCAATTCCCGTACCAGGCCGCAATACAACCAGTCAGGACGCTCTCGATGGTGCAGCGGTAGTATTTGGAGAGGACCCGGTGCAGCATGACACATTTCTTCAGCCGCCTTAGGAAATAGAGATGCTGTTGCACGCTCTTGACAAGAGTGGTGATGTGGACGCTGATGAACTGTGTGTGTGTGTGCGTTTGTCTAATACTCACCATCCGACCATCGCATGGCATCGTCTAGTTGGGGCGGGACCCCCTTCCACAGTGTGCTGTCTTTGGGGTAGCCCAGATCCATACGCCGTAGATGGTCATCATAGCGCCAGTAGCGGTTGTCCTTGAAGAAGTAGGTCTTGTCGTTGTGGAGCCACACGAAGGCTGCGTCCACGCCCTCCATTGGCAGGCCGAAGTCACTGATTGGCCGAGGATAACCCTCCTCCACGTTGTTGTCCTTGAATATCCAATACTTTAGTCCTGAGGAGACAGGACAAAGGAACGTCAATCAACGAGAGTTAACTGGATAACTTGTTAACAGTTTTTTTCAAACACTTTGGTGCAATTTTCGGATGTGGTACATTTTCACAACTCTAAGCACAAAAATCTAAACAGGTAATCAAAATGGCTCATGTTTCAAAACTCTAAGCTCTAAATACTACATCATCATTCTCCATCAGCCAAGGTGCTTCAATAGGACAAAGTGGAAAGAGCCACTATGTGCTACCATTTGGAATTATAGTGTAGTGTACAATGCACTGCTGAAATACCTGGGTTGTATATAACAATATTCCACTCATTCTCTGAATTTCATTGTTACACTGTAAGCTGATGAATTTAAGCAGAGAGACAGGCGGTACTGTATCAGTTGACAAGTCACATAGAAAAGATGATCTTGACAATGTTCCATGGGGAAGAAATGGCATACAACACTGTGCTACGTTTTTACAATAGCCAACTGCTTTACAATACCCCTATTTCTCCTGGTTTGTCCTACGTATGTATTGTATAAGGCAGCTTGATGTACAAGTACACCCCCTGGACAGGACGCTAGTCTATCGCAGGGCCTGACATTTCTAAACATGCTCACAACCTGCCATTGGATACAAATTAAAAACAAAATTGTGCATGTCAAGTTATAGCCAAATTCTGTATGGAAATCTACTATTCAGTTTTGAAATTTGTATCTTGTATTTTTTACTATTGGATTTAATGGTAGTTAAAATGATTAAATGGTGAACCTATCATTATCTGATGTATTGGTGACTAAACAAAATGTTCTCATGGTATTTCACAGAAAACTTTTGCATGAATGACTCAGGGGTGAAAGATGTGTGAAACACCAATGAATGCCCAATCAAAGGTTCTGAACATAAGATAGGGGGCATTACAAGTGTGAAAATCCACCACATACTTGTGAAAATAGCATCAAAGCAAAGAAAAAAACTACTAATTTGATAACTAAACTAAATGAAAGTGATTGGTGATTAAATGTGTTTTGTGGGTCCTGGGTGGAGCAGTGGTCAAAAGCACTGCACTGCAGTGCAGAGGTGCCACTACAGCCTGGGGTTCAATCCCAGGCTGTGTCACAACTGCCGGTGACCGGGAGCCCCATAGGAAGTCGCACAATTGGCCATCCGGGGTAGGGGAGGGTTTGGCCGGTGGCGCTTTCCTTGGCTCACTGTGCTCTTGCGACTCCTTGTGACTGGGCCGGGCACGTGCAAGCTGACTCTGTGTTTCCTCCGACACATTGGTGCGGCTGACATCCGGGTTAAGCGAGCAGTGTGATAAGAAGTAGGTGGGTCATGTTTCGGAGAATGGATGACTCAACCTTCGTCTCTCCCAAGCCCATTGAGGAGTTGCAGAGATGAGCCAAGGGACCAAATTCAGGGAGAAAACGGGGTAAAAAAATAAGCTTGTGGCCATACCACCCTGAACACGCCTGTTCACAGTTGGTACTGGGTCGGGAGACCGCCTGGAAATACCAGGTGCCGTAAGCTCAGAAAAGTAATACAAAATACAATAAATAAAAATAAATATATGTGTTTTGTGATGAAACTATTGAATTGACTTTGAAATACAGACAGAGAAATAAACTTTTTTTACCAAGAGGTGTAAGAGAGGTGTCCTTGTTTTTGTGCTTTTGTAATCTTAATTGAATTTTTAAACCCTCTGTCATCCATAAAACCGTTAACACAGTTCAAGGCCCATGATGACACATCACTTGATGGACCTCTTTTCATGTGCTTCTCAGAACACCTTCACATTTCATCGAACAGCCCTGACACTTCAAAATAATAGTCATAACAGTCTCCCCGACCAATTACAAACCTTCAAGTTATGTCACAACACTCCCTTTCATAGTTGATAAAACATAGTTGGTATATGGTTGACCTCCCTGCCACCACCACAACCATGACTGGGTTTCTGGGTTGGGTACCTTTGAAGAAGACTATCTTGTGGTCCCCAGGTCTCTCGTAGACAGCGTCCACACTGTCCAGGTTGGTAGGCAGGCCTCTCCAGAACCTGTGGATCTGAGCCGGACGCAGAGACACCAGGTGCTTCTCCCGCGTCAGACGCCAGAAATACTTCCCTAGGAGGAGGAAGAGAGAGAATGTAGGAAGAAAAGAAAAGTAAGAAGAAAAAATAGGCAAAGGAGGACACGGGTACAAAGTCATTCTCTCTCTGTTTAAGTGTTTGTGTGAATGTGTGTACACACTTGTGTATGTGTGGGAGTGTACTGTATGAGTGTACAGTAGTGAAAGTTGTGTGTTTGTATGCATCCTGTGTGTCAATGTTTATTTATGAGTGAGTTTGTTTATGCTGTTGTCCATATTCAAATGGTCCAAAGGGCAAACATGTGTGGATGCCGCAGAGTATATTGTACCCGGGCAGGCACTCAGCTGGCTGAACCAACCAAGCGAACACAGAGGCAGATTCAGCCTAGCTTCCAGTATCTGTGTTGGACAACACCCATGCCAATATATCCTCCAAACACTGGCTCCTCGGGCATTATCACTTCAATAATACAGAGGCTGTGACCCAACTCAGACCAACTTAGTTAGTCTAAGTTTGTTCTAAATATTCCATTGCCATACTGGCTGGCAACGTTCTTATCCCTTGCTTGCTAGCTAGCTAGCCAACTATAGTTAACTTACAGTCACGTCAAACATTGCAGCCAGAATAACAGCAAAGTAGCTGCATTTGCGTTTGTTTAAGCTGTTTTCTAGTGACCCAACACACCTCCAGACTGTGTAAGGGCTATTTTACCAAGAAGGAGAGTGATGGAGTGCTGCATCAGATGACCTGGCCTCCACAATCCCCCGACCTCAACCAAATTGAAACCAGCCAGTATGACAATGGAACATTTAGAACGTACGACTGTCCATAGTTACAGAACAAAAAGACTGAACGACTGGGTCATATATTTATATTTGTTTAACACTTTTTTGGTTACTACACGATTCCATATGTGTTGTTTCATAGTTTTGATGTTTACAATGTAGAAAATAGTAAAAATAAAGAAAATCCCTTGAATGAGTAGGTGTTCTAAAACCTTTGACCGGTAGTGTATATCCATAAAAATTATGCTGATTCATGATTTCAACTGGCTGAGAAAAGCTGCCTGCCTTTCTGTCTCGTCCCGACTCCCGACACGTTCATTACTATGGGACAGCTGGAGATCGAATTTTCCATATTGAAACAATGTTGCAAATGTCGGAGACAGACAGCAAGGTTTATACGAATCTCTGCTGTTGAAAACTAAATTTTAGTCTAAAAGAAATGTGAGATAATGTCTAGTTGCTTTTTATAGTGGAGATCAAGTTTATAAATTGCCTGGCTGGGCTGATGAGACAGTGGATTGCGCAGTCAGATGGAACAGAGTAAATAGGCATTTCAACGTCATAGATTTAGCTGGTGGTAACTTGTGGAATAGACACCGGCTGGAATGCGGTTTTAACCAATCAGCATTCAGGATTAGACCCACTCGTTGTATAATACTTTTTAATCTGCAGCTCTACAGACTATTAACAGCGTCCATAACATACAGACCAAATTAAACATTTTATATTATCATGGAGGTCTCTTGAGGTTAACAGATGTTAATTAAGAATCTATTTTTCGAGAGAGACCTGGCCATGTGTCTATCCTCAATTCAAACCATATAGTTTTACAGTCAACATGGGACAATGGGCCCCTCCAGGGTCTGTCTATCTGGCTGTCTGTCCAGGGAGTGTGAAGGTGTGTGTGGAACTCTGAGAGACATGCTTGGCTGCCTTTTATATCGATTGCAGGCAGTGCCACAAACTGTTCTCTCTCCCTCTGGCCTCTCTCTGTACCTTTGAAAAAGAAGGCCTCCCCACGAATCTGGGCCACTGCATCAAAGTGACTGGTGCACCTGTCAGGGGAATCTCGTGCTGGCCTAAGAGAGGAAGAGAGAGAGGGAGGGTGGAATTAATTAAAGAAACTAAGACAGAATGTACACCAAACCACTATGCCAGTCTAAATCAGTGTCTTCTCATCTTAAACCAGTGTTTGTGTTTATGTGTGCAGAGCGTCCATGCACACTATGTTAGTGTGTTTATCTACTGTGTGTGTGTGTCAATTAAAAAACAGGCCAAACATCCAGGGAGATGTTATCATCCTGACGCAGGAGACCGAGGTCCTCGCATGCATTATCCCAGTGCTAATGACTGACTTTAAGCGCCTGACGTGTCCGGGCTGCAAATGATGAGGCAATTACCACAACAGGGCTGCTTTTGTGAGACGCTACTCGCCTAGCTCCTTATTAACAAAGATCTCTATTCAGGGACTATTAACAGAGGAGCTGGGCAGAGAGGACTATATTAGTGACCTTTGTCAGGCTAAATCTACCTTGTCCACACATCATCCTGCAAGATGGAGTGGCCGAGAAATGATAAGGGAAAGCTACAGAGAGGAGTGGGGGAAAATAACAAAAAGAGGATAAAGTATCCACTTTCTACCAGTCAAGTATGAAAATCTATTATTTTCTTGGTGCTTCTGTTCTGACACTTGCTGTTGAGTGCTGTGTGGTCTGGTGTGTGAACACAGGCGACGGGGTGTGTTATAAACAGACTCATTTTATACTCTGAGCACACAGGGAAACAAGGTGAAATAAGGACTGCTATCTCTCTCTGCGGCATTGTGACAGTGTCCAAACTCGCTGAACTGCAGGACAGTCTGAAGACTGAGGGAGGGAGAATGGGTCTGTAAGTTTCTGAGATTGAGTTTGGATGTATACGGGTGTGTGTGGATATACACTCAGTGGCCAGTTTATTAGATACACCCATCTAGTACCGGGTCAGATCCCCCTTTGCCTCCAGAACAGTTTGAATTCTTCGGGGCATGGAAACATTGCTCAATTGGTACAGTATCAAGAGACCTAAAGTGTGCCACGAAAACATTCCCCACACCAATACACCACCACCACCAGCACGAGCCTGTACAATTGACACCAGGCAGGATGGGGCCATGGACTCATGCTGCTTGCGCCAAATCCTGACTCTGCCATTAGGAACCGGGATTTGACGGACCAGGCAATATCTTTCCACTCCTCAATTGTCCAGTGTTGGTGATCGTGTGCCCACTGGAGCTGCTTCTTCTTGTTTTTAGCTGATAGGAGTGGAACCTGGTGTGGTCGTCTGCTGCAATAGCCCATCTGTGACAAGGATAGACGAGTTGTGCGTTCCGAGATGCTGTTCTGCACACCACTGTTGTACTACGACGTTATTTGTCTGCTTGTGGCCCGCCTGTTAGCTTGCACGATTCTTGCCATTCTCCTTCGACCTCTCATCATCGAGCTGTTTTCGCCCACAGGACTACCGCTAACTGGATGTTTTTTGCTTGTTGCACTATTCTTGGAACCGGCGCGCCTGGCACTGACGATCATACCACGCTCAAAATCGCTTAGGTCACTTGTTTTGCCCATTCTAACGTTCAATCGAACAGTAACTGAATGCCTCGATGATGCCGGAGCCACGTGACTCACTGTCTGTAGGAGTGAACCATTTTCGTGAACGGGGTGATGTACCTAATAAACTGGCCTCTGGGTGTATGTCAGTGGGTGAGTGTATGTGTGTCAGCAGCAGATTTATTATATTGAGTGTGAATGTGTGTGTGTGTGTGTGTGTGTGTGTGTGTGTGACTTACGGGACAGTAGATCTGTTCTCAGGGAGGTCCAGTAGTACAGGTGGGTCAGCGGTCTGGGAGGGGTCATCTGGCTGGGCCGTATGTGACACTGAATCGCTCACCCCTGGGAAGAACCAGAGGTCAAGGGTCAATTCAACTGTACTTAGAGACACACAACCCCACATTCACATACATACATTCCAAGCATACACCCCCTCTACAGCGCCAGCATGATTCAACATGTTTTCTCCCTTGCTCTCTCTCTCTCTCTCTCTCTCTCTCCTTTGTCCTTTGTCCTACCTTGCATGTTACCTCTCCAGTCTCTTCCCTTCTACCCCAGCCACGTATCCCCTCTCACCTATCCGTCTTCCTCTCCCCCCCTCTCTCAGTAACATGGCACACAGTGATAAGCAGAGTCTGTGCCACAGAGATGACCAATTAAAGCCTTCTCTCCGCTCCCTCCCACTCTAACCAGCACGCTAATTAAATCAATTATCACTGCATACAAACTAATCAATTCTGCTTCCTGTGCCGAGGCCTTGGGTTTCCTGCTCTGCACCGCCGCGTTGCACTGAGGGATGGGCGGACACGTCCCACTAGGAATCATGGGTAATTCTAGGAGACATTTGCAGTGAGAGGTTTGAGGGGTGGTTGTGGGTGCGAGAGTGGGGCGGTCTGTGCCTGTAGATTAGACAGCTAATGTATACAGTCCCTCTAGGATTTTCCGCACAGTATGTGTACATAGAAGGGATGGCAGGATGCCAGTCAATTGATGTATGTCAAGTATAAGTGAGGTAGGCGTGTGGGGGGGCGGGTATAAAATAATTATAGAGGAGTAGCAAGGCAAGAGGTGTTCAGATTTATGGAGAGAAGGATAAGGAAGACTGAAATAGTTTGAAGTTTTAATGTCACGTGTTTAAGTACAGTGAAATGCCTTTCTTGTATGCTCTAAACCCAACAATGCAGTAATCAATATCAATGTAGTACTATAAATAACATAGGTAATAAGAAAGAAAGGTGGAGAGGAGAATGGAGTGGCAGATGACTGGAATATGCGAGATGGAGAGAGGAGGTAGATAGATAGACACATACACACTACAGGTCAAAGGTTTGGGCTCACTTAGAAATGTCCTTGTTTTCCATGAAAACATACATGAAATTAGTTTGAATAGGAAATATAGCAAAATGCATAGGAAATGTAGTCATTGACAAGATTAGAAATAATGATTTTTAATTGAAATAATAATTGTGTCCTTCAAACTTTGCTTTTGTCAAAGAATCCTCAATTTGCAGCAATTACAGCCTTGCAGACCTTTGGCATTCTAGTTGTCAATTTGTTGAGGTAATCTGAAGAGATTTCACCCCATGCTTCCTGAAGCACCTCCCACAAGTTGGATTGGCTTGATGGGCACTCCCACAACAGCTCAATAGGGTTGAGATCCGGTGACTGTGCTGGCCACTCCATTATAGACAGAATACCAGCTGACTGCTTCTTCCCTAAATAGTTATTGCATAGTTTGGAGATGTGCTTTGGGTCATTGTCCTGTTGTAGGAGGAAATTGGCTCCAATCAAGCGCCGTCCACAGGGTATGGCATGGCGTTGCAAAATGGAGTGACAGCCTTACTTCTTCAAGATCCCTTTTACCCTGTACACCTCTCCCACTTTACCATCACCAAAGCACCCCCAGACCATCACATTGCCTCCAACATGCTTGACAGATGGCATCAAGCACTCCTCCAGCATCTTTTCATTTGGTCTGCGTCTCACAAATGTTCTTCTTTGTGATACAAACGCCTCAGACTTCGATTCGTCTGTCCATAACACTTTTTTCCAATCTTCCTCTGTCCAGTGTCTGTGTTCTTTTGCCCATCTTAATCTTTTCTTTTTATTGGCCAGTCTGAGATATGGCTTTTTCTTTGTAACTCTGCCTAGAAGGTCAGCATCCCGGAGTCGCCTCTCCACTGTTGACGTTGAGACTGGTGTTTTGCGGGTACTATTTAATGAAGCTGCCAGTTGAGGACCTGTGAGGCGCCTGTTTCTCAAACTAGAAACTCTAATGTATATGTCCTCTTGCTCAGTTGTGCACCGGGGCCTCCCACTCCTCTTTCTATTCTGGTTAGAGCCAGTTTGCGCTGTTCTGTGAAGGGAGTAGTACACAGCGTTGTATGAGACCTTCAGTTTCTTGGCAATTTCCCTCATGGAATAGCCTATATTTCTCAGAACAAGAATAGACTGACGAGTTTCAGAAGAAAGTTATTTGTTTCTGGCCATTTTGAGCCTGTAATCAAACCCACAATTGCTGATGCTCCAGATACTCAACTAGTCTCAAGAAGGTCAGTTTTATTGCTTCTTTAATCAGCACAACAGTTTTCAGCTGTGCTAACATAATTGCAAAAGGGTTTTCTAATGATAAATTAGCCTTTTAAAATGATAAACTTGGATTAGCAAACACAATGTGCCATTGGAACACAGGACTGATAATGGGCCTCTGTACGCCTATGTAGATATTACATATAAAATCAGCTGTTTCCAGCTACAATAGCCATTTACAACATTAACAATGTCTACACTGTATTTCTGATCAATTTGATGTTATTTTAATGGACACATTTTTTTTATTTCGAAAACAAGGACATTTCTAAGTGACCCCAAACTTTTGAACGGTAGCGTATATACAGTGCATTCAGAAAGTATTCAGACCCCTTGACTTTTTCAACATTTTGTTACGTTACAGCCTTATTCTAAAATGGATTAAATAGGTTTTTTCCCCCTCATCAATCTACACACAATACCCCATAATGACAAAGCAAAAACCGTTTTTTAGAAGTCTTAAAATAAAGAAAATAAAATACACATTTTTATAAGTATTCAGACCCTTTACTCAGTACTTTGTTGAAACACCTTTGCCAGCGATTACAGCCTCGAGTCCTCTTGGGTATGACGCTACAAGCTTGGCACACCTGTATTTGGGGAGTTTCTCCCATTCTTCTCCCGCAGATCCTCTCAACCTCTGTCAGGTTGGATGGGGAGCGTCGCTGCACAGCTATTTTCAGGTCTCTCCAGAGATGTTGAATCGGGTTCAAGTCTGGCCTCTGGCTGGGCCACTCACGGACATTAATTCCTGAGCGCTCTGGAGCAGGTTTTCATCAAGGATCTCTCTGTACTTTGCTCCGTTCATCTTTCCCTCGATCCTAATTAGTCTCCCAGTCCCTGCCGCTGAAAAACATCACCACTGCATGATGCTGCCACCACCATGCTTCACCGTAGGATGGTGCCAGGTTTCCTCCAGACGTGTCGCTTGGCATTGAAGCTAAAGAGTTCAATCTTGGTTCCATCAGACCAGAGAATCTTGTTTTTTTTATGGTCTGAGAGTCCTTTTAGGTGCCTTTTAGCAAACTCCAAGCGGGCTGTCATATGCCTTTTAATGAGGAGTGGCTTCCGTCTGCCCGCTCTAACATAAAGAGCCCTTCTCCCTCGATTGCTCAGTTTGGCCGGGCGGCCAGCTCTAGGAAAGGTTTTGGTGGTTCCAAACTTCATCCATTTAAGAATGTTGGAGGCCACTGTGTTCTTGGGGACCTTCAGTGCTGCAGACATTTTTTGGTACCCTTCCCCAGATCTGTGCCTTGACACAATCCTGCTCAGAGCTCTAAGGACAATTCCTTTGACCTCACGGCTTGGTTTTTGCTCTGACATGCACTGTCAACTGTGGGACCTTATATAGACAGGTGTGTGCCTTTCCAAATCATGTCCAATCAATTGAATTGACCACAGGTGGACTCCAATCAAAAAAGCTCAGGTGCATCCTGTTTCCATTGATCATCCTTGAGATGTTTCTACACCTTGATTGGAGTCCACCTGTGTTAAATTCAATTGATAGGGCATGATTTGGAAAGGCACACACCTGTCTATATAAGGTCCCACAGTTGACAGTGCATGTCAGAGCAAAAACCAAGCCATGAGGTTGAAGGAATTGTCCGTAGAGCTCAGAGACAGGATTGTGTCAAGGCACAGATCTGGGGAAGAGTACCAAAACATTTATTTAGCAATGAAGGTCCCCAAGAACACAGAGGCCTCCATCGTTCTTAAATGGAAGAAGTTTGGAACCACCAAGACTCTTCCTAGAGCTGGCTGCCCAGCCAAACTGAGTAATCAGGAGAGAATGGCTTTGGTCAGGGAGGTGACCAAGAACCCGATGGTCACTCTGACAGAGCTCCAGCGTTCCTCTGTGGAGATGGGAGAACCTTCCAGAAGGACAACCATCTCTGCAGCACTCCACCAATCAGGCCTTTAGGTAGAGTGGCCAGACGGAAGTCACTCCTCAGTAAAAGGCACATGACAGCCCGCTTGGAGTTTGCTAAAAGGCACCTAAAGGACTCTCAGACCATGAAAAACAGGATTCTCTGGTCTGATGAAACCAAGATTGAACTCTTTAGCTTCAATGCCAAGCGACACATCTGGAGGAAACCTGGCACCATCCTACGGTGAAGCATGGTGGTGGCAGCATCATGCAGTGGGGATGTTTTTCAGCGGCAGGGACTGGGAGACCAGTCAGGATCGAGGGAAAGATGAACGGAGCAAAGTACAGAGAGATCCTTGATGAAAACCTGCTCCAGAGCTCTCAGGACCTCAGACTGGGTGTGAAGGTTCACCTTCCAACATTACAATGACCCTAAGCACACAGCCAAGACAACGCAGGAGTGGCTTCGGGACAAGTCTCTGAATGTCCTTGAGTGGCCCAGCCAGTGCCCAGACTTGAACCCGATCGAACGTCTCTGGAGAGACCTGAAAATAGCTGTGCAGCAACACTCCCCATCCAACCTGACAGAGCCTGAGAGGATCTGCAGAGATGAATGGGAGAAACTCCCCAAATACAGGTGTGCCAAGCTTGTAGCGTCATACCTAAGAAGACTCGAGGCTGTAATCGCTGCCAAAGGTGCTTCAACAAAGTACTGAGTAAAGGATCTGAATACTTATGTAAATGTGATATTTCCGTTTTTTGTTTTTGTTTACAGTTGCAAAAATGTCTAAAAACCTGTTTTTGTTTTGTCATTACATGGTATTGTGTGTAGATTGATGAGGAAAAAAAACCAATTTAATCCATTTTAGAATAAGGCTGTATAACATAACAAAATGTGGGAAAAGTGAAGAGGTTTGAATACTTTCTGAATGCACTGTATGTATTACTCACAGTGTTGGGAAACTTTGCAGGGTAAGAAGCAGCTGTGGTGTTATGTCGCTATCTACTTTATACCCTTTATCAGCCTTTTTCCCGTGATGGTGAGGCGATTTGAGGTACGTACCATAAAGCTGCCAGACGCGGACCTTGTCCTCATAGGGGAGGTTGTACTTGAGTGGGTCCCCCACAGGGCCCTGGTAGTACGGCCTCATGATGGACTCTATGGCTGAGGTGTGGGCCAGGCCAATAGCATGACCAAACTCATGCACTGCTACCGCAAACAGATCCATCCCGTGAGAGTCTGAGGAGAGAGAGAGAGAGGGAGAGGGAGAGAAAGAGAGAGGGAGGATAGACGTGAGAAAAAGAACAGTGAGATTTCTCCATCAATCAGAGCAGAGAGAAGCTTTGATACGGCTTTCATATCATGAAAACACACCTCACTGACAGACAGAAGAATGCTATTACTACCTTCTCAACTCTCCATTTTGGACAGTGTTGGACTGATCTAGTACACCTCTACTATCAAGTGTTTGGATTGCAGAGTGTGTTTCTCTTACTTCTGAACTCATCTCCATATTGTTAGAGTTAAGAGGAGAAGCAGACAGGCACAAATGCTTTTAATGCTTTTAGGCACAAAGCATAGAGAGATAGATATGGAAATACAGTCTGAGCTGCAAGCTGTCAGCTACAGAGCATGGAGGGACACCTGGAGCGACTGCAGCAGGCTAAAAACACCTCTTCCCTCCTCCTCGGCTGAATTTGCTAAAAAAAGAAAGAACCTGCTCGTCTGGCTCTGCTAAGCGAGACTAAGAGTTCAAACCTGCAGCTAAGAGATTTAGATTGCGGCTCCACCATCCACCAAACTCGTTGGTGTGGTGTGTGTGTTAGCATGACACAGCAAGCTAGGTTCCCTGCCCCTGTGTGCATAGCTAGCCTTAGATTAGCACAGGCTTGGCTGCGCCTTAGTGTCATGCTCAAACACAGACAAAGGAGAGAGGTGCTGATATATTCCCTCCTGGTTATTCACCAGGGCGATTGAAGGCCCAATACATGTCCTAATCTACAGGAGCACATTGTGCAGAAATGGAGTGGAGAAATGGACTATGTATGAGAGGAAGTGAAGGAGGGAGGGAAGTCATGGTACCATTTAATTTACAAGGAGTATGCAGCGTGGAGGAGGAAGGGAGGATAAGAGGAAGAGAGGATGGGAGAGCGGGGGATGGAAGGAGGGAGGTCATGGTACCATTTATTTTACACAGAGTCACTGTGGTGTTCATCCCTATGGGTACACAACAGACTGCCTGCCTGTGTCCAACCTTGCCACACAGAGATTTGGCCGATGTTCTAGATTCATTTAAATGCTGTATTCATTCAGTTGGACCCTTCTGGTAAAATATTCTGGTCTGGGATGGTTAGCTGCAGGGGGTGCAGAGAGAGGGAGAGAAAGAGTGCAGGCCAGATGGAGTCTGTCTGTCCCATCAGATTTGGGGATGGGTACCCTCTAAAAGCAAGCCACAGCTGGCCAGGGTCCTGCTGGGTAGGCTTTAGGAGGTCTGTGGAGGATGATAGTAAAGACTGTGTGTGTGATGAGAGGAACAGACCCTATTCCCTGTTAGAGTCCTCTATACACTGACTACAGCAGGTTCAGCCCTGTGACTGTTTACTCAGCCAAAACGCTATCAGCTTTGTCTCTCTCCATTCCTCAAGAGAGGGCTGCTGTTCCTCTGTGGTGGTGTTGGTGATGGAGTACAGCCTGTTTGGCCATGGTGTGCAGCATGGTCCCTGAGGAGCCTGTCAGCCAGAGCAGGGAGACTAAATGACTGGCTGACAGCTTGATAATGTGGATGAGCAGTGTGGAGCGATTTCTCCCTTCTACCCTATCATTTCTCTCCCCCCCCCCCCCCCCCCCCCCCCCCCCCCCCTCTCTCTCTCTTTCTTTTTCTCTGTCTGTTTCTGTCTCTGTCTCTGTCTCTGTCTCTCTCTCTCTTTCTGTCTCTCTCTCTCTCTCACTAACATAAACATGAACACACTAATACGTGCACACACGCGTTGCGAACCAAAGCCAAATTACGAAAGTCATCAAAAACACACCTGCTTAATGAACCTTTTGTTTCGGCCAGCCGAATCATTCTGCATTAGCGGAGAGATAATTAATAAAAGCAATCTGCCTGCTGTCAAAACAAAAACAGCCTTTACCTGGCTCCACTAACGTGACCCGGACCCCGAGAGTCTGCCCCGGCCACTGCATTGGATGTCTCCCCTGTCAATCAACCAGTGGAGCGCAGAATGCTTGAGAACTTAAATGGAGCATTTCGCATTCTGCTAGCTACACTGTTCTCCAAACGCCAGGTTTCAATTCAGTGCTAATTACAACACATTAGCAGGCCCTGCCAAGAACAATACACTGGGATACGTTTTCAGAAAATAGGCAAGAGGCGAGAGAAAAGAAGGGCGAGAGGGAAAGCTGATAACGTCCATCCTTCTTAAGGAGATTAGGGCCCCGGAAATCTGCTGAACTGCCGTGTTTCACTTCTAGCTCCTGACCTTACAAGTTTACAAGTTCTCCAAAGAATATCTTCTTGTTGGAAAGTTGCAGGAACAACAACCCACTCCAATATCTAGGAGGGTATAGGGAAGAGAGCCAGGGCCTTAAATCCTGTTGCTGACTAAAACACCTTGCTGAAAGAATCACCTGTATGGCTCGCTATTATGACAGAAAACTAGGGACACCTAGTTAACGTTTAACTCCCTTTTCTTACCCAAAGCACCAACAACATTTTCAGTACGCATGTCAAAGAACACAATCCTTCAGTGTCGTAAACACAACAATAACCATACGACACATACATAACACTCACCAAGGTAAGTTTTAGTAACAGAGCTTTGAGGTTAGCACAGCCTACTGAGTGGAGAAACTAAGAGACGCGGTGTCGACCCGACGGACTGTGAAGCTGAGAAGAAATTAAGAGCTGTTTAATTAACTGTCTCCCCTCTGCCTCGGCGACTCACGTCTGCCGCCAGAGAGTTGAGGCAAACATGAAATGCAAAAAAACACTAATAAATAGAGGACTACATTCCTTGTTCAATCCAAGCGATGAAGAAGGAGGAAATTATACTAGAAATCTAGATGGTGGTTTGGGACATTCAATTGTTTCAGATAAAGGAGTCATATCATAAGCAAATACTTGAGTGATCTCATTCCTTGTGTGGGTTGAGAAGGGTAAATCATAATTTTCATCATTACCATTATCCTTCACTTCCTCCTCATCATCATCATTTATTCATGCAGTGTGCCAATGATGTGAGATGCTTGGAGAGAAGCTGGATTTTTCAATAATCACCCACCTTCTAAGTGTATTGCCCTGATCCCCGCAGTCTCTCCCCTCCCTCCCCCTGTACTCAACCTGCCAGGCCCCGTGTAAGCATCTGCCGCCTGCCTGCCTGCCTGGTCTGGCCTGGTGGGAGCCCTAATTGGAGCAGACGGAGCCGCTGTCCCGGGAGGCCTCCTGCAGGACAGGGGGAGACCAGTGCACGGCCTGGCGGCCTGGCCCCATCAACATGGCACACCAGCTGGGTCAGTCTGCATCATGCAGCCCTGCTCCTCTCCTACCCCCCACACTGAGGTCTGGTTCTGTGTGTCTTTGGGAGGGTGATGTACTGTATCTGTCCTGTCAGAGTGGTCATGGGGCCAGCATACATCACACATTACATCACATCACCTCTCCAGATGTGTTTGGTTGTCTTGCTATCGTTATCAAGGCAAGCCATGTGGAGGTATTGGGCTTAGCTAGAGTGGAATATTCATCTATAAACTAGGATATGCATCTCTGCTCTCAGCAGTTCTAGTCTCATCATAGGTGGGGAGACGAAGGGGGAGCTCGTTCTCGTTTACCCTACTTGAGAAAGAGACAAACATTTACCAACACTGTCTGTGCTCGCCTGCTATCCTCTTCCTCCTTCTGTCTCAGGAAGGAAGGAGAGGTAAGGGCATAACAGAAAAGGCATTACTTTCTCCATCAGAGATGGACAGGAAGGGAGAGATGGGGTGGTGGGGGGCACCTTGAGTCCACTCAGGCTGATGAGAATGGGAGCTGGAAGAGGGGGAGGTGTTGGGCAGTCGATCAGCCGAGCAGCAGCAGGCAGACTAAATGATTAATGAGAGCATCTGTGAGTCTGGGAGCGGCTGGTCAGAATGACTGACCCATGGCTGACCGTTCAACTGCTAGAGCCGTGAGGGCATTGCACGCACGCACGTACTCACGCACACACACACGCAAACTCCTGGAAATGTACTTCATAGAAATAAATATAATGAACAAATTAACAGTATACCACATATACAATCCATGTACAATACACACTGGTCACTGAAGGCACAGTAAACCACCAACCACTCACCTGGTGATCTGAAGGTCCAGGCCTCATCATCATCAAAGTGGGTGTCCCCTGCCGTGAACCTCTCTCCGGGGAAGAAGGCGTGTGCCACAGTGCCCCCCGGCCCATCGAAGGGGTACCCGTCGTTGTGGTCGGCCTTGGTGAAGTCAATCTGGATGTCTGCGTCGTTGCCCGCCACTTCGTGGAAGTTTAGGGGTGAGATGTCACTCCAGACCTTGAGGGCGTAGTACATGAGAGCCCGTACCGTATCTCGACCCAACAGAGGAGACTCCTTAGGAAAGGTACGTATCCTGGAGGTGGAGAGGAGGGAGATGGAGAGAGAAGGATAGTGGAAGCAAATGGAAGTAGGAACAGGAGTAGAGGAGAAGAGGGCGAGAGAGGAGAAAAAAGATAAGAGGAGGAGAGAGAGTGAGAGGGGGAGAGGGGGAGAGAGGGGGAGGAGAGGGGGGAGGGGGGAGAGGGGGAAGGAGAGGGGGGGGAAAAGGGGGGAAGGGGGGAGAGAGTGAGAGGGGGAGAGGGGGAGAGAGTTGAGAGGGGGAGAGGGGAGAGGGAGAGGGGGAGAGGTGGGAGAGAGTCGAGGAGGGGGTGAGTGAGAGGGGGAGAGGGGGAGAGAGTAGTGAGAGGGGGAGAGGGGGCAGAGGGGGGGAGAGTATGAGAGGTGAGAGGGTGAGAGGGGAGAGGGGGAGAGGGGGGGAGAGCGTGAGTTGAGAGGGGTAGAGGGGGAGAGAGTGAGAGGGGGAGAAGGTGGGGGAGAGAGGGGGAAGAGAGGGGAGAGGGGGAGAGAGGGGGAGAGAGAAGTGAGAGGGTGAGAGGGGGGAGAGAGGGGGAGGAGGAGGGGGAGAGGGGAAGAGATGAGAGGGGGAGAGGGGGAGAAAGTGAGAGGGGGGGAGAGGGGAGAGGGGGAGAGGGGGGAGAGGGGGAGAGAGTGAGAGGGGGAGAGGGGGAGAGGGGGAAGAGAGTGAGAGGGGGAGAGGGGAGAGGGGGAGAGAGGGAGAGGGGGAGAGGGGGGGGCGAGAGGGGGAGGGGGAGAGGGGGGAGAGGGGGAGAGGGGGGAGAGGGGGGATAGGGGGAGAGGGGGAGAGAGTGAGAGGGGGAGAGGGGGAGAGGAAAGGTCAAAATAAGAATACAGTACAAGTACACCGGCAGAGCTGCATTCACTGGTCAAGAAAATGTTAGCTGATGTCAACAGATTTTCAGTTCATGAATGACTATAGGGCTTGTTTGCAGATACCCACTGATTGTATCTCCTTTTCCATTTCATGGGTTGGTGAGCCCTCGCAGTGGAAAACAGATTGACCATAGCATTCGAATGCATCAAAATTCTTTGAACTGAGTTGCGGAGAGATGAGAGTGAGAGAGGAAAAAGACACAAAATGAGCTTTCAGGAATAGCTTTCGAGGCACTCTCCTCCCTTCTCTCTCTCGCTCTGTTTCTCCCTCTCTCCATCGTATCTCTGTCTCTCCCTTTGCTGCAGCAGTAATAGGATTTGAATAAACAGTGGGGAAGTTATAATCTTGCCCTCTCTCTCCCCTTCTCTTCTCTCTACTTCCTAGTAACCAGAGTCATACAACCTCCATTAGCCAACTTTGCTAGCTACTCGTTATGTGCACTGAACAGAAATATAAACGCTACATGCAACTATTTCAAAGATTTTACTGAGTTACAGTTCATATAAGGAAATCAGTCAATTTAAACAAATTCATTAGGCCCTAATCTACGGATTTCACATGATTTCACTGAGAATACAGATATGCATCTGTCGGTAACAGATACATAAAAAAAGATAGTAGCATGGATCAGAAAACCAGTCAGTACCTGGTGTGACCACCATTTGCCTCATGCATCGCAACACATCTCCTTTACATAGAGTTGGTCAGGCTGTTGATTGTGGCCTGTGTCCCACTATTCTTCAATGGCTGTGCAAAGTTGCTGGATATTGGCAGAAACTGGAACATGCTGTCGTACTCGTCGATCCAAAGCATCCCAAACATGCTCATGTCTGGTAAGTATGCAGGCCATGGAAGAACTGGGACATTTTCAGCTTCCAGGAATTGTGTACAGATCCTTGTGACATGGGGCCGTGCATTATCATGCTGAAACATGAGATGATGGTGATGGATGAATGGCTCGAAAATTGGTCTCAGGATCTCGTCACGGTATAACTGTGCATTGAAATTGCCATCGATAAAATGTAATTGTGTTCGTTGTCTGTAGCTTATGCCTGCCCAAACCATAACCCCACCGCCACCATGGGGCACTCTGTTCACAACGTTGACATCAGCAAACCGCATTCCCACACAACGCCATACACGCTGTCTGCCATCTGCCCGGTACAGTTGAAACTGGGATTCATCTGTGAAGAGCACACTTCTTCAGCGTGCCAGTGGTCATCAAAGGTGAGCATTTGCCCACTGAAGTCGGTTACGACGCCAAACTGCAATCAGGTCAAGACCCTGGTGAGGTCGACGAGCACGCAGATGAGCTTCCCTGAGACGGTTTCTGACAGTTTGTGCAGAAATTCTTCAGTTGTGCAAACCCACTGTTTCATCAGCTGTCTGGGTGGCTGGTCTCAGACGATCCCCCAGGTGAAGAAGCCGGATGTGGAGGTCCTGGACTTGCGTGGTTACACGTGGTCTGCAGTTGTGAGGCCGGTTGAACGTACTGCCAAATTCTCTAAAATGACGTTGGAGGCGGCTTATGGTAGAGAAATGAACATTCAATTCTCTGGCAACAGCTACTGTATGGTGGACATTCCTGAAGTCAGCATGCCAATTGCACGCTCCCTCAAAACTTGACACATCTGTGGCATTGTGTTGTGTGACAATATTGCACATTTTAGAGTGGCCTTTTATT